ACAAATGAAATGTTTATGAAAAATTTTTTTCTCACACCATCTCCATTGCGAAACAGATTTGGATCAGTGGATAGAGTGTCGACTGAGAGACTGAAGAGTCACATGTTCGATTCCTGTCAAGGTCACATGCCCGGGTTACGGTCTCTGTCCTTGTCAGGCGGTGTGCAGGAGGCTGCTGATCCATGATTCTCTCTCATCATTGATGTTTCTCTCTCTCTCTCCCTCTCTGAAATAAAATAATATATATATATATGTTAAAGAGATTACTGATCTGAGACCCCAATTTGAGAATCACAGAACATGAGGCTGAAGGAGACCTCACAGACGAGACTGAACTATGAGGTTTACAGCGACTCTGAAGGACTGAGCAATGCTGTGAGACCAGACACCACGGAGTGGGCGCCGCCCGGCACCGCTCACCTGCTCCACGGTGCAGAAGATGTGGGCGTCGTCCTGCTGGAAGCGTCGAACCCGGGTCAGGCCACTCAAGGTTCCCGACAGCTCGTTTCTATGAAGAACCCCAAAGTCGGCAAATCGAATGGGCATTTCCCTCCAAGACCGCGGGCGGTGGGCAAACATGAGACTAGAAAAGAGGCGGTAACACAGCTTTTACTCAGCGGGGAGATGGTTGAGTGATTAGTGAAACACTAACAAGTTATGATTAAGCCTCAAGACGGGTCCATTTTTTATTCTGGTTCTTAGATCACGAGCTTTAAAGACATTTCTTCTCCTGAGTTACCGCACCTTGGATTTGCATCACTTTGGCGCCCTAGGAACCTGTCTACCATCTCTCCCAGAATGCATCTCTCCCAGAATGCAGCCTCCTATTCCCATTCACCCAGGGAATTCCCACTCACCGTTTACCACTCATTTCAAAGGCCACTTTTTTTTCTTTTAAAGAATAGTTTATTGTGGCCTGCATGGCTCAGTGGTTGAGCATCAACCTATGAACCAGGAGGTCACAGTTCGATTCCCAGTCAGGGCACATGCCTGGGTTGCAGGCTCAATCCCTACTGTGGGGCATGCAGGAGGCAGCCAATCTATGATTCTCTCTCATCATGGATGTTTCTATCTCTTCCTCCCTCTCTGACATCAATAAAATTTTTTTTTAAAAAGAATAGTTTATTGATATTTAGAGAGTGGGGAAGGGAGAGGGAGAGAGAGAGACACATTGATGGGAGATCGAAATACCCATCGGCTGCCTCCTGCACGCCCCCTACTGGGGATCGAACCCGCAATCCGGGCATGTGCCCTGACTGGGAATGGAACCGGTGACCTCTCGGTGCACAGACGATGCCCAACCCACTGAGCCACACCGGCCGGGCCTGCTTGCTGGTTACTACTCACCAGTGCCCTGGGCAGTTCATGGGTTTGAGGGCAAACGTGTCCTTGTCCACGTGGAAGGTGAACATGCTCTGGCTGTAGTGCTGCCAGTGGCCCGAGGCCTCCCAGAGCTGGCTGTTGAGCACGTTGGGAGAGAGCACTTCCGTGAAGTCCCGGCGGTGATACTCCTCCTGGAGGAAAGGCATGGCGAGGTCAAGGCCACGCGGAGTCCGACGGCGAGCACGCCGTGTGGACGCGGGGTCACCTCGTGTGCACGTGTGACGAGCGTGCCCGCAGTGCTGGGGGTGGTCCCTTCGGATCGTGTCTTTCACGTGAAGTGTGTCTATCACGACAGTACCTGATGCTTTAATTCTTTGTGACTTAGGAGCTGGATACTACACAGAGAGCATTTATAAAAGCACAGATCTCAAGGCCGCGGGAAAGGAGAGGAGGAGAGCTACGTTCTTTAGGGGCAGGAAGGCGGGTCAGGGTCGCCTCCGCCGGCTGGGAGAGCTGCAACCACACGGGAGGATCCGAAGCAGGCCTGCGTCAGCTGACAGGGGCTTCTAGGACCCACAGTTATTATTATTGAGATTTCTTAAAAAGTGATTTTTACAGAGAGAGGAAGGGAGAGGGAGAGAGGGATAGGAACATCGATGAGACGGAAACATCAATCGGCTGCCTCCTGCACGCCCCACCCTGGGGATGGAGCCTGCATCCCGGGCATGTGCTCCTGACTGGGAATTGAACCGCGACATCCTAGTTCATAGGTTGATGCTCAACCACTGAGCCACACCGGCCGGGCTGTAGGACCCACATGTTTAAGGCACTGATCTGTCTCCTATGGAAAATACCCTTGCCTTTCTGATACCCAGTGCCACGTCTAGGCTTTCTCTCTCGGGAAGCTTTCAGAGTATTTTCTTTCTCTCTCAGCAATGTGCACGGTGGCCAGGGACAGCATGCTTTCCCACACAAAACCCCGACACCAGACCTGCCCCTTGCCCATGTGGGGCCCCGATGCTACGGACCCACAGGCAGAGACCGACTGGCTCTCTGGCCAGGATGACGGGCCCCGATTCCTGGGGACACTGACACACAGTAGATGAGGACTGCGTCTGGGGTGCAGGGAGGAGCCTCAAGCGCTTCCATATCCAACAACGGCCAGCGGAGCGCCCCAGCGACCCAGTAAAGACAGGCCCGCTGAGAACCCCGTCCTCTGGGGAGAAGATGGGGGTCGCCCACAGTCACGGGTGGGGTGTGTCCCTCCCCCCAAGAAGCGAGGTGGGAGCTCGGGATGCGACCTTATTTGAAAACAGTCTTTATCGAGGGGGTCAAGTTCAGAGGTCATTGGAGTGGGTCTGAATCCAATGGGACTGGTGTCCTCATAAGAAGAGGAGGTTTGGAGAGAGAGAGAGGAGGGGGAAGAGGAGACGGAGAAAGAGAGAGAGAATGAATGAATCATGTAGAGGAAGATGACATGAAGACACGCAGGGAGAATGCCAAGGGAAGGCAGGAGACTGGAGCGAGGCACTGACACGCCAAGGAAGCCAAGCGGTGACTGACACCCCACCCCTGGCTGGGAAAGGGCAGGGAGGACGGGTTCCCCGCGGGTCTCAGAGGGAGCACGGCTCTGCCAACGCCTGGATCTCACGCTTCCCGCCTCCAGAACAGCAGAGGACACATTCCTGCTTTAGGCCACTCGTTTTGTGTGTGTGTGTGTGTGTGTGTGTGTGTGTGTGTGCGTGTGTTTTAAAATATCTTTTTCTTGATTTGAGAGAGGAAGGGAGGAGGAGAGAGAGAAAGAAACATCAAAGATGAGAGAGAATCATGGATCGGCTGCCTCCTGCACGCCCCCTACTGGGGATGGAGCCCACTACCCGGGCGTGTGCCCTGACCGGGAAAGGAACTGTGACCTCTCGGTTCATAGGTCGACGCTCAGTCACTGGCAGATTTTGCAGCTTTATGTGTGTGCTGCATGCACAGGCCACTTCCTTCCGCCAAGGGTACCTGGGCGTTCACGGCATCCACCTCGGCTGCGTCTGCCCCACAGGCCCATCCCAAGACGCGGGCGCAGGCCTCCCCCCGGCACCCTTACCTTGGCACGAGAGGCCTGGGGCTGTGTGTCTAAAGGGCTGCGCACCCTGCACCTCACACAGTGAGACCTGGGGCCGCCCCCAGCCAGGTCTGTGTCGCATCTACGAGAGATAAGAGATCCTGTAAGGCCGCCCTGGCGGCTCCGCCTCGTCTCCGCGCTCCTCCCGCAGCCTGGAGAGTTCCAGGTGCCAGGGGCCGGGATGCTTTCCCAGCAAAGACGGCAGCGCATTGGGATCAGCAGTCATGAGGGTCCTCGCCCCCCGCTGGCACCTCTGATCAGTCAGTGATTCCTCAAGCCTCGCCTCCCTGCCCTCTGATCGCCTCCTTCGGCTTCACGGGGGCCAGCCCCTAGGAAAGACGCGCAGCTCAGGTGAGCGAGTCCAGCGCGGGCAGCGTCCAGGGGGGCAGCGCGAGAGGAGGGGACAAAACGAGTCTAGTGCCTCAGACAGAACCACCAGCACATGCCACGTGCTCTGTCCCCGGGAAGTTCTCCTTTTTAAGAAAATATATATTTTTACTGATTTCAGAGAGGAAGGGAGAGGGAGAGAGAGAGAGAGAAATATCAATGATGAGAGAGAATCATGGATCAGCCGCCTCCTGCACGCCCCTTACTGGGGATGGAGCCTGCACCTCAGGCACGTGCCCTGACCAGGAATCGAACCCTGACATCCTGGTTCATAGGTTGACGCTCAACCACTGAGACACGCCGGGCGGGCTCATCAGGAAGTTCTTGAAGAAAGTGCTTCCCCAAATGAGAGGGCGAAGCAAGGAGGAGGAAGACGCGCCAGCAGGAGAGAAGAGCATGAGCACAGGTCGGCGATGAGGGGAGCAGCCAGGATGGTGGCAAGAAGACGTCTGAAGCCCTCACTCCGGGGCGAGAAGACCCCAGTGGGAACAGAATCACCGAGAGACGCCCAGGTCATCAGCATGTGCCGCAGGGCTTCCGGGTGCTGGCAGGGAGTGGAGGGTGAACCAGTGACAGGCACTCGGGGAGCGGAGTCAGGGAACGTGTAGCTGGTTAGTGACGATAAGGACAGAGCGCAGGAAGGGGAGCGCCACCCCAGCAGTCCACGTGGTCGCCCGCTGCAGCAGCCACAGCACACGGTCCCGGACGGACTCTCACCTGCGCGTGTACTGCAACCGAGCATCTCACAGAACTCTTTCCCTCCTTGCTCTGGGGCTGCCCGGTCACACCAGACGACAAAGGGGCCCCGTGACCCCCGGGCCGCAGTGACCAGCAGTGCTTCCTGGTTGAGCATCCTGTGCCAGCACGACCCCCTGCTCTCTCCCAGGAGGAGCCCCTCACGGCGTCTGACGCTCACCTCCGCGCTGCACCTGCTCTAGAAGCTTACAGGCACCGCGGAGGCATTGGACAAAACCCGAGGATGCATCTAATTTAGGAAAATGCCAATCATCTCAACGTTTTCATGAGGAGGCACAATCGGGATCAGGCTCCAAATCCTCACTGTGACTGAAATAAAGTCCCTGGGGAGGCCGGGCCGTGTGACCATGAGAGGACAGGGTAAGAGGCCAGATGGAGCTGAGAGGAAGGGAGAGTCACTCACGCGGATGAAATCCATCAGTGTGTTATAGACGAAGGCGCCCCTGGGAAGGAAGAAACAGCTGCCCGGACTCAGGTCGTGGAAGAAGAAAAGCTCTTGATCCTGAAATGAAACCGTAACTGGATGTCAAATGCCACGGTGGGTGCTTAACGTTCACTGCACACGTGACACGCTAGACATGAAATGTGCACGGTCCTCATTCCCATTCTCTAACCATTGTACCCAAAGTCCCTCAATACTCCCTCCTCACTGCCCTGCACAGCACATGGGAAGCGACCCTTTGTATTGATCGTCTCACTAACGAAGCTTTGAACAGTAGCTTTTCCTTCGCCTTCTATTTACTGCTCCTTCATTACTTGGCCTCTTGGAGGGTGGGTGTCATGGGGAGAAAACACAGCAAAAAGATCAGAAATATTCATCGCTGGCCCGGCCCGTGTGGCTCAGTGGTTGAGCAGCGACCCATGAACTGGGTTTGATTCCCGGTCGAGGGCACGTGCCCGGGTTGCGGGCTCGATCCCCAGTAGGGGGCGTGCAGGAGGCAGCCGATCCATGATTCTCTCTCATCACTGATGTTTCTCTCTCCCTCTCCCTCTCTGAAATCAATAAAATATATTTTTAAAAGCTATTTAAGAACACAGGAGGAGAAATGTTATTTTTGGAACCATTTAGTTTTGGGACAGAACCGCGAGCCGACAAAGGCACGCGCCATCGCAGGGGTGAAGGCGACGCTGGCCCACCTTCCCGATTCGCCTGTGGTCTCGGCTCTTGGCCTCCTCCTGGGCCTTCTCCCAGGCGCTCATCATCTTGCTCTCGGGGAAGGAGATCCCGTAGACCCGCTGCAGCGCTTCCATGGCGGGGCTGCCCTCCCAGTAGGTGGAGGAATTCTAAGCATCCAACAACGTTCTGGTGAGCGTGGCTAACATTCGGTTATAAATAAAATCTGTCTTACATACGCACAGCTTTCCAATACAGCATCAACACAGCTTACGTGACGGTGACCTTTTGTAGCGCTGGAAAGACTCTTAAGCTGGTTCTAACTAAACCTTCCCAGTCCAAATCCATCAGTACATCACGTAAAGAGCCCAGCCGGGGTGGCTCAGTGGTTGAGCATCAACCCATGAACCAGGAGGTCACGGTTCAATTCCTGGTCAGGGCACATGCCCGGGTTGCGGGCTCAATCCCCAGTGGGGTGCGTGCAGGAGGCAGCCGATCCATGATTCTCTCTCATCATTGATGTTTCTGTCTCTTCTCCCTCTCCCTTTCTCTCTGTCTAAAAACCAATTTTTTAAAAAGACATATAGCCCTAGACTGGTTTGGCTCAGTGGATAGAGCGTTGGCCTGTGGACTGAAGGATCCCGGGTTCAATTCCAGTCAGAGGCACATGCCCGGGTTGTGGGCTCGATCCCCAGTACGGGGCGTGCAGGAGGAAGCCAATCAATGATTCTTTCTCATCATTGATGTTTCTATCTCTCTCCCTCTCCCTTCCTCTCTGAAATCAATAAAAATGTATGTGTGTATATATATGTATATAAAATAAAGACATATAAAAAAAAGAAAACCAGTATGTACCACAACATCATAACCAGTTAACTGCCACGATGTTTTGAATTTAATTAAAAAAGGTCCGTCGCTTGCGTCTATAGATGCTTATGGCGTACAAATGGTAAAATATCATACGAACAAGAAAAATGCATTGCAACACAGTAAGGTTAAATGAAAATCAAAAGCTACACATAATGTCCTAATAATCAGAATTCTAAAAAAAATTATACTGTTTTTAGAAGCCCATGTAAAAAATCAAATAATGAAGGGTTTTTAAAAATAGCATGATGTTCAGATTATGAGGCATATGACTGAAATTCCTAATGATTTAGTTTATCTTCAGTCTTCTCTATGAACAGCAATAAACCCTTACCTTGAAAATTTTGATGGTTTTGATTTTTCCGGTGTGTCTCACGTGGGGGCCTTTACAAAGGTCGATGAGTGGGCCACACCTGTAACGAGACATTTCAGACAGGGCCAGTGCCGTCCTGAGAGACAAAGGAAAAGCAGTGACTGCCTTCGTGATAACATTTCCGAGTCCCTAACTAAAGTGACACATTGACATGCACATTTACAAGGAGACACCACCCCAGGCAAACTGCTTCTCCTGCTGATCCTTCAAGAGAACCACTGAGCAGGTTTAAAATTTACGTGCACGTTACCTGTAAATTGTGGTGGTTGGAGTGTTAACCTTCTCGTTCAAAATGCGGCACTTAAACTTATTGTACTACGAAGAAAAACAAATTTATGTGTCATTACGTAAAATGTTGAAGTGGGAAAATATTTCCTTTTTTGCAACAAACACTGAATGGGTGTTTACTGTGTTCTAGGTGCTGAGATCCTGGGGATATAAAGAGCTCACAGCCCGGTCGGCGTGGCTCTGTGGTCAGAGCATCAGCCTGCACAGCGGGTGGTCACAGGTTCTATTCCTGGTCAAGGGCACGTACCTGGGTTGCAGGTTCTATCCCCGCCCCTGGTCAGGGTGCATGTGGGAGGCAACCAATGGATGTGTCTCTCTCCCATCGATGTTTCTCTCTCTCTCTGTCCCCGTCCCCCCTCCCTTCCACTTGCTCTAAAAATCAATGGGAAAAAGATCCTTGGGTGAGGATTAACAACAAAAAGTTGTCTATGTTAATTACTTTTAATCTTCCTATAACCATGTTTTCTTCTTCTAAACAGCTTCTTGAAATTATCTGGCCCTAGCTGGTTTGGCTCAGAGCATTGGCCTGCAGACTGAAGGGTCCCGGGTTTGATACCGGTCAGGGCACATGCCCCGTTGCAGGCTTGATCCCCAGTGTGGGGCCATGCAGGAGACAGCTAATCAATGATTCTCTCTCATCATTGATGTTTCTCTCTCTCTCTCTTCCTCTCCCTTCCTCTCTGAAACCAGTTAAATATATATATATACATATCCACATATATATATATATATATGTGTATATATCCCACACACATATATATATAAGTGCATATACACACACACACATATTTTAAAGAAGTTACCTTAAACATTTCCAGAAGGACGTCCTTGCTAACTTCCAATCTTTCAAAAGGCTGCTTTTCTTTTATAATCGTCTGACAGATGCTCTCCAGCGCCGGCAGCTCTGTGCTGGACACGGCTCTGCAGGGGGAGCAGGTGAGAATCAACACACTTTCCAGTCCTCACCACGTGCCTGTGTGGCCTGGGTCCTGCAGCCTTTGTCACTCACCAACAAGCTTTCTTGGCAGAGGAACTTGGTGGTTTTTTTTTTTAATTTATATTTTTATTGATTTCCGAGAGGAAAGGACAGGGAGAGAGACATCCATGATGAGAGAGAATCACGGATCAGCTGCCTCCTGCATACTCTCTACTGGGGATCAAGCCCGCAACCCGGGCGTGTGCCCTGACTGGGATTCGAACCGTGACCTCCTGGTTTCTAGGTCCACGTTCAACCACCAGAGCCACGCTGGTCAGTCAGAACTTGGTGTTTTGATGCACCAGGACTTCAGAAAATCAGACATTCATCCGAAGGCAGATAACTTTTCCCAGACAGGGAGACGGGCATTAATGGATGGAATGATCTGCCTTCAGTCTCTTCGACGAGGCCTGCAATTTGAAAGGCCCGTTGGGCCTGAACAGCATGGCTCAGTGGTTGAGCGTCGAATTATGAACCAGGAGGTCATGGTTGGATTCCGGGTCAGGGCACATGCCTGGGTTGCGGGCTCGATCCCCGGTGTGGGGATTGCAGGAGGCAGCCAATCAATCCAAGATTCTCTCTCACCATTGATGTTTCTATCTCCCTCTCCCTTCCTCTCTGAAATCAATAAAAATATCATTTTAGAAAATGTAACCATGATAAAACAATGAGCCCAATCCACATGCACTCAGAAGTGAACGTTCAGTGGTGTTACCTGTCTTCGATGAACATGTCATAGTAAAACCCGTCCTCGATGGGCGGACCGTAGCACAGGTGGCCTCCATAGTAGAGCTCCATGGCCTCGCCCAGGACGTGGGCGCTGGAGTGCCAGTACACCTGCGGGCACAGGACACAGACGCTGCTGGTGATCACATTCCATCATGCAAAGGCATAAAGGAGTTAACATGTGGTTCGGTGTTTACACCAGGCCTCAGGGCAACATCGATTTGAAAACAAAACCAATGATGTTGCCAACCAGAAAGCTGTGTCCTTTGATAAAAGGCCCCTTGTTTCTGATGGGCACATTTATCAACTTTACAAGAACATTTTTACTCATTTTTTTAAAAAGTGTATATTTTATTGATTTTTTACAGAGAGAAAGGGAGAGGGATAAAGAGTTAGAAATATTGATGAGAGAGAAACATTGATCAGCTGCCTCCTGCACACTGCCTACTGGGGATGTGTCTGCAACCAAGGTATATGCCCTTGACCGGAATCAAACCTGGGACCCTATAGTCTGTGGGCTGATGCTCTATCCACTGAGCAAAACCAGCTTTTATTTTAAAAGATGATCCTATTTATAATGTAGCGCATAATGTACCACAGGAAAGAAATACTTCTTGCCCTCTGGGTAAATTCACATAGAAAATGAGAGAGTAGCCCTAACCGGTTTAGTTCAGTGGATAGAGCATCGCCCTGCGGACTGAAGGGTCCCAGGTTTGATTCCGGTCAAGGCCACATACTATGATTGCAGGCTTGATCCCCGACCTTGGTTGGGTGCATGTGCAGGAAGCAACCAATCGATGTGTCTCTCTCACATTGATGTTTCTCTCTGTCTCTCTCCCTCCCTTCCATTCTCTCTAAAAAATCAATAGAAAAATATCCTCAGGTGAGGATTAACCAAAAAAATAAATTAAGTTAAATTAAAGTGTAAGAGTTTGCTTTATAAAGGACCTTTGGATTTTCCAGTTAAGCAGAAAATGCTTTTACAAAGTCATTAATTTATCATTTCGCAGACCTGAGTTTTCTAGATTTGTTTTGCTATAGGGTTTCTGTCTCATGGGTATGCATTCAATATTCATAAATTGGTTGATGTTCAAAATCATAATAATAGGAAAATAAAACCCAGGGGGAAAAATAAATCTTTGAAACTAAATTACACTAAAAGAAGCATCAGGCCCAGCTGGCGTGGCACCGTGGTTGAACCAGGAGGTCACGGTTCAATTCCTGGTCAGGGCACGTGCCCAGGTTGTGGGTTCCATCCCCAGTGTGGGGCGTGCAGGAGGCAGCCGATCCGTGATTCTCTCTCATCATGGATGTTTCTCTCTTTCTCTCTCTCTCCCTTCCTCTCTGAAATCAATGAAAATATATTTTTAAAAAAGTTATTGAATACCTATTAAATCACGATAGACACGTTTTAAACCGTAGAGCGCCACAACACTCCTCGTGCCTGACTTCAATAGGTGGTTTTTGTGTTTAATATATTTTACTGATTTTTTTACAGAGAAGAAGGGAGAGGGATAGAGAGTGAGAAACATCGATGAGAGAGAAACATCGATCAGCTGCCTCCTGCACACCCCCTACTGGGGATATGCCCGCAACCAAGGTACATGCCCTTGACAGGAATCGAACCTGGGACCCTTCAGTCCGCAGGCCGACGCTCTACCCACTGAGCCAAACCGGTCAGGGCTCGATAGGTGATTTTGTACACATTGTTGAAATACTCACAGCCTGTGCCTCCTCATTGTCAAATGTAAGCAGCTCCAGCGTGGAGTCCCCCTCCAGCGGGCGGTCCAAGTCCCATAATTCACCATTGACCTTGGCTATTACGGTGCTTTCGGCCAGCTCTCGACTGGTGAGAGAGAAAATCACCGGCAGTTAACCTCGTCACGGGCTGTCATGATTTGTTAAAGCACGAGAATAAAATCACTCCCAGGGTTTTTTGCTTGTTCGTTTGTTTGCTTGCTTTTTGAAATCCTCATCCGAGGATATTTTCCCATTGAATTTTAGAGAGAGTGGAAGGGAAGTGGAGAGAGACACAGAGAAACATGAATGGGAGAGAGACACATCGATTGGTTGCCTCCTGCACGTGCCCCAACCAGGGAGGGGGGGGGATCGAGCCTGCAACTAGGTATGTACACTTGACCGGGAATCGAACCTGGGACCCTTCAGTCCGAGGGCCGATGCTCTAACCACTAGCCACACCGGCCAGGGCAAGAACAACACATTTTCAACAAGCTCTGGCCCAACACTTACTACTGAACATCGCCCGGCACGGGTGGCTCAGTGGTTGAGCGTCGACCTATGAACCAGGAGGTCAGGGTTTGATTCCCAGGTTGCAGGCTGGATCCCCAGTGGGGGGCATGCAGGAGGCAGCCGATCGATGATTCTCTCTCATCAATGTTTCTCTCTCTCTCTCTCTCCCCTCCTCTCTCTGAAATCAATGAAAACGTATTTTAAAAAAGGCTCACAATAGCCAAAAACAAGCCAAAATACACCTGAAATCTTCTCCAATCTGTGGCTTACCTGATGTCAGCAGCCACCTGGTACGGTGTGGTTTTCCACGCCTCCCCTTCCACGGTTTTCCCATCAGCCACTCTCACTGTGATCGCATCGCCTGCGCTCCCCTCGCTCCCACCGGTGGCACGTGACAGCTGATGCTCTTTCTTCAATATCTCAAACAGCGCCAATCTTTCCTTTATGAAGTCTGGTTGGCTTTTCACCTGAAAATCATTGGCATGCACTCAGGTTAGCATACGCATCCCACTTTTTCCTTTAAAAAAAAAATTTTTTTTAAGTTTCAGAAAGAGGAAGGGAGAGGGAGAGAGAGAAACTTCAGTGAGGAGAGAGCATCGTGCACCGGCTGCCTCCTGCACGCCCCGAGCGCGTCTCCATGACAGGCAGCGTCTTATGCTATTTCCGGAGCAACGACTGACCTCGCTGTCAGGCTCCTGTTCCTCCGTCGTATTTCGAATGTCCTTTCCTTGGTCTTGGCGAGGAGGAGGCTGGGAGAGAAAGGTAGATGGTAAACAGCTCATGCCCGTGACACATCGGAGACCCGAGGGAGGAGGGGGACATGCCAGCAAGTGCCCCCTGTGTCGGGGCCCTTAGCTGGGCTGTCCTGAGCGCCCCCTGCAGCCCTCCATGGGCAAGTTGTTTTCTGAGGTTTGGTCCTTCCTGTCTGGGAATTCTCCTATATTCTTGCTAAAAACAGGCTATATAGGGTGTCCCAAATTTCACGCAAGATTTGAATTTTGCGTGAACTTTAACAACAACAAAATAAAAGCCTAATTTTACTTGGTTTATTGAATCAGATTCTCCTATCTGTTGCCCTTTGATGTCAATCCCTTCAATTTGATAAGCATTCCCAAGTACCAGTGAGGGGCCCAGGAGCAGGGACCATGAAGACCAATGAAGACCACGCCGGCTTTGCGTCTGTGCCAGCAAAGCCGTGGAGCCATTTACCCGATGTGCTATTCCATACATAACCCTAGACTGTATCCTTTATGAATCAATAAACAATTTACAATTTTTAATTATAAACCTGTGTTTTCTATCAAAATTACTTCTTGCGTGAATTTTGGGACAATATATATATATATATATATATATATATATATCCATATATACACACACACACACATATACATATATATTTAAATATGTCTTAATTGATTTCAGAGAGGAAGGGAGAGGGAGAGAGAGAGAAACATCAGTGATGAGAGAGAATCATGGATCGGCTGCCTCCTGCACGCCCCCCACCGGGGATGGAGCCACAAACCCGGGTATGTACCCCTGACCAGGAATCGAACCCGCAACCCGGGTATGTACCCCTGACCAGGAATCGAACCCGCAACCCAGTCATGTGCCCCTGACCGGGAATCGAACCCTGACCTCCTGGTTCATGGGTGATGCTCAACCACTGAGCAACACCAGCTGGGCTATTTTTATATACTTATTGTATTTTAAATCTAAATAGATTTAATGTATTTTAAAGTCCCCCCCTAAACTTTAAACAAATAATGTCACTGGAAAACGGCTGTGTAGCTGCCACCAGAGACTTTAAGCCCATTATTTCATGAAGCTGTGGATAGGGCTCCCTGGTTTTCAAGAACTCTCTCCCCCCCCCCCACCCCCACCCGGGTCTGAGAAAGCCTTCAAAACGCAGGGAATTCATTACGTCCCAGGAAAACAATCTGCCCATCAATGAACTAAAACAGTAAAATCCTGCATGAAATAAGGATGCTCCATACCCAGACCTCAAGACAAGACCCCAACCTGCCCAAGCGAGGAACAGAGCTTTCAACGCGCCAGCATTTTCTTTTCTTTCCAAGCAAAGGAAGCTGCTGTTCCCGCTCCTACAGAAACGTGGGGGCGGCGATGGAATGGGGGAGCTGAGCCGTGCACCCCGAGGTCAGCCGGGTGGCTGCGGGGAAGGCAGCGGCCCCGGGGTACCGGGAGGGCAGGGCACGCCCTCCCTGCAGGGACCAGGACGGACCGCGCCCCGCACAGCCCCCAGGGCGCCGCCCGCACCCGCACCCGCACCCGCCCTTCCCGGGGAGCAACACGCTCAGTGTGCACCTCGGGGCGCCCTACCGAGCCCCCCGCCGGGAGTCCCCCGCGCCCCGCTACCTGCGCGCCGGCAGCCGCGCGCCCGGCCTCCTCCGGCGCCGCCTGGTGGCTTCTGCTCCTCCGCGAGGCACAGCCGCAGGCGGGACAGGCGGCGCCGCAGGTCGTCGGTTCTCCGCCCGCAGATGCACCACCTCCCGCGTGAGGCAGGGCTCCTCGGCCGGGCCGCGGTCCGGCGGGTTCAACTGCGCGTCCCTCAGGCGCTGGACCTCGGCCCACAGCCAGCGGATGTCCTCCTCCTGCCGCTGCAGGCGCGAAGCCACCGCCTCCGGCCGCCAGGGCCTCGGCCGCCATGGCGCCCGCCTCCCTCGGCAAGGGCGCCGCGCGGGGTGGCAGGTGGTGGCAGTGGCGGTGGGGACAGGGAGGACGGACGGGCAGCGGGGACCGGACACAGCGCGAGGGGGAGGGCGGGGAGGGCCGGGGCCCTGGGAACTGGGGAGGCGGGGCTGCGGTTACGTACAGCGCAGGGGCGGGGCTATGGGAACCGGAAAGGCGGGACTGCTGTTACGTACAGCGTGTGGGCGGGGTTATGGGAACCGGAAAGGCGGGGCTGCCGTACGTACAGCGTGGGGGCGGGGGCTATAGGAACCGGAAAGGCGGGGCTGCCGTTACGTACAGCGTACCGGTGCCGCTACGGAAACCGGAAAGGCGGGGCTACGGTTACGTACAGCGTACCGGCGCGGCTACGGGAACCGGAAAGGCGGGGCTACGGTCACGTACACCGCAGAGGCGGAGCGACGGAAACTGGTGAGGCGGGGTTACGTACAGCGAAGGGGCGGGGATATGGAAACTAGGGGGCGTGGTTATGTTGAGAGGCGGGGCTGCGCTACGTACAGCGTAGGGGCGGGGCTATGGGAACTGGAGGGCGGGGCTGCGGCTACGTACAGCGTAGGGGCGGGGCTATGGGAACTGGGGAGGCGGGGCGACTGGGAGAGGCGGGGCTGCGGGTACGTAGACCGCAGGGGCGGGGCTGAGGCGGGGCACACTTAGAGAGTAGGGGCCGCTGGGGCGATACCCCGCACTGGCTGGGCCTGGAGGGCGGTGAGGGGCCCGAATAAGCTCAAGGTCCTTTCAGGGCTCTTAGCTTGCCGCCAGGCGTCGGTTGAAACGCAAATGGTCCAAAATCTTGGAAAGGCCAACACCTTTGGCTCCTGTGGCTCCTGTCTCCACCCTCCGGAATTCTGGCTTCAAGCCTGGTAATTACACAAAGATCTTATATGCATGTATGCATTCCCTATGGACACAGACAATAGGGTGGCGAGGGCCTGGGTGGGCCGGGAACTGGGTGGAGGGGAGCTATGGGGGGGAAAAAGAGAGACATCTGTAATCTCAATAATAAACATGAAAAAAAAAAGTGGCCACTGAGAACCAGCCTTCTTTGGCCTTCATGCCACGGCTGGCCAAGTGCAGAGGCAGCTGGGCCAGGCTACCTAGAAGAGATCTGACAAAACTTTAAATCTGACCCGCAGGTGCGAGTTCCTGGAGGCCAGGGCAAGTGCCACCTACATCATTGGTCTCGCTCACAACCAAGAGCAAAAATGGATTTTTATGAACATCCTTAGGGGTTAGAACGTGGCAAACACTGTGCTAAGCTCTTCGCAGATAGTAACTCTAATGCTTATAACAGGAGAAACCCAGGCCCGTGCATATAGATGGAGAAACCGGAGCACAGAGAGGCTAAGTAACTTGACTGAGGTCACACAGCCACACTGCATGACGGCTGAGATTCAGACTCCGACCGAGGCCAGTGTCTTTGTGCTTAACATTCCGGTGCCTTGCGGCCTTGGTGAGACTGAACTGAACGTGTCATGTGATGAGATCCGGGTGATAAGTGCCAGGAGCGCTCCCAAGCTGTTTGCATTAAGCTCCCGGGAATCACAAACAGCCCCCAGGAAGAGGCGCCCAGTAGAAGGGCCCTAAACACTGTACCTTTCCCCTCCGCCTCCCTGGTAAGCGTCTGGGCTGGTCCACAGACCCCCATCCCTCCCGGGCGCTCCCACCGATTTCTGACATGACCTTGCATTGCCACCCGCTATGACCTTGCCGAGGCGCCCCACACATTTCCTCTGGCTTCTTTGCAGTTTGTCTTTCTTGCCCCCAAACCACCACCCATCCGCTTTCTGTCACCATGGGTTAGTTTCTATTTTCTAGACATTTCTGTAAAGGAAGTCATACAGTATTACTCCTTTTGTTTGGCTTCTTTCCCTTAACATGACAACTCTGAGACCTACCCATGCTGTTGGGTGTATAACAAACCCCGTATTCCCATAGGCTAATGGATACAAGGAAGCGTTACGTTCCTACGCCATCTCATCAACATCATTAAAAAAGACACTGGATGAAATGGTGCTGTTCGAGGACCTGCTGTACATCCTGTGGGACGTTGCTGTGAACCTAAAACTGCTCCAAAAAAGTCTATTTAAAAAAGAAGAAGGAAAAAAAAATGTGGCCTGTAATACTGAAAAAGCACCACGAGATGGCACCATTTCCCTCAGAATTTTCAACTCTCCAATTAACTCGGCGGCTGGCCCGGAGGAAAGCAGCCCGTTCTGGGACTGTCTGTCCAGGCTTCAAGAGGCTCAGAAGTGCTTCGCCATGTACATGGCCACAGCCCAGCCCTCGGCGTGTACTTTACCAGGAAATGGATATTTTAAACGTAAGTTTATGCCCTGGCCGGTGTGAGTGGATAAGCATGGGTCCACGGACTAAAGGGTCCCGGGTTCGATTCCGGTCAAGGGCACGTATCTTGGCTGCAGGCTCGATCCCTGGCCCCAGTTGGGGCTCGTGCGTCGTCTCTCTCTCGATGTGTCTCTCTCACATCAATATCTCTCTCTCTCTCTCTCTTTCTTCCCCTCCCTTCCATTCTCTCTAAAACTCAATGAAAAAAATGTCCTCGGGCCCTAGCCGGTGTGGCTCAGTGGATAGTGCATCGGCCTTCGGACCAAAGGGTCCCAGGTTCCATTCTGATCAAGGGCACATGCCTGGGTTGTGGGCTTGATCCCCAGTAGGGGGTGTGCAGGAGGCAGCTGATCAATAATTCTCTCTCATTATTGATGTTTCTCTCCCTCTCCTTTTCTCTGTCTAAAAACCAATTAAAAAAAAAAACATGAAAGAAAAAAAAAAGGCGATACAGCTAAAGGGCAGAGCCAGTACCCAGACCCCGGCCATATGCTCCTTCAACCCTCAGTCCCCATTTTCCTCTCCCCCTTTTGATCATGAGACGTGGTCGCTGGGCTCCCCCCAATAACTGGGGCGGGGGGGGGGGGGTTGGCCCTAAGGTAGAAAACAAAGCAACTCCCAACAGACACATACATTTCTGCCAGTTTATTGATCACTGAAGCATTTCCATGGAGAAAAGGGGTTCACTTGTGTTTTGTAAAAAAAAAAACAACAACTTTGGATGACACTGTTCTATTTCTGGTATCCACTGTCCATTTCACACATAAACGCTGAAAATGGTCCCTGTCTGGCTCTGTGCCATGAAATCTCGACATCAAGGTTTATTCCTTTACAAGAAGAGACTCCAGGGTGTAACACTCGAATCTATAAAAAGTACCAACTAAAAGTCACCGTCGCCACGGCAACGCACCGCCTGGGCCAGGAGCCTCAGAGGCGCAGCCCTTGGGAATGAGCCTCCGCAGACGAGTGAGACCTGCACGGAGTGGATGTTCCATCTCCGCGAGCACCTGGACCCTCATTCCTCGGCTCAGAAGTAGGCCGCAGCCCTGGCCGGGTTGCTCAGTGGTTAGAGCGCCGACCCTTGAACCGAGGGGTTGCAGGTTCAATTCCCGTTCAAGGGCATGTATCTGAGTTGCAGGTTTGATTCCCCGGCCCCGGGGCAATTGCAGCCGGCAAAACTGATCAATGTGTCTCTCTCACATTGATGTCTCTCTCTCTCTCTCTCTCCTGCCTCTTCTTCTCCCCCTCCCTCCATTCCTTCCACTCTCTCTAAACATTAATGGGAAAACATCTCTCTCTCACCAGAGATATTTTTTCCCATTGATTTCTAGGGAGAGTGGAAGAACGGGAGGAAGGAGAGAGAGAGAAAGAGAGAGATCCATTGGCTGCCTCTCTCAGTCGCCCCTACTGGGGCTGGGGAACCTACAACCCAGGTATGTGCCCTTGACTGGGAATTGAACCCACAACCCCTTGGTCCTCAGGCTAAAGCTCTAACCACTGAGCTCACCGGCCAGGGCTCCTCCCCTTTTCAAGGCTGTATAACAGTCCATCGTGTGTACAGACCACAATTCACAGAGTAATGTTCGTCCTGGTGCTTAACTTAGCTTTGCCTGTGGGAAGAAATAGGTTTCTGAAAAGGCTTAAGTTTTTTGCTCAATTATAACACTAATATCTCCGGGTAAATGATCTTCCTTAGTGTCCCGTACAAAATATTGCCAAAGAAGCCCAAGCTGGTGGGGCTCAATGGAGAGAGCATCAGCCTGCGGACTGAAGGGTCCCGGGTTCGATTCCAGTCAAGGGCACATGCCCGAGTTATGGGCTTGATTCCCAGTAGGGGGAGTGCAGGAGGCAGCCGATCCATGATTCTCTCTCATCATGGATGTTTCTCTCTCCCTCTCCCTTTCTCTCTGAAACCAAAAAATTGATATTTTAAAAAAATATTGCCAAAGACGTTGCTGATTCGGGATCCAATAATCCTCTCAGAACTCGGTCACTGTTTCTTCCCAGTCTGTTATTTGCCTGCAGCTAGAAATAGACAGAGCCCTCTGCTCAGAGTGAAGGGCTGCGTGTGGTGTTTGCTTAGCGTCATCATTAAAACTGCGGTGAGTTCCGCGGCTCATTTTGCAGAGGCAGAGAAAAGCGCCTTTTTTTTCAGTTTGGTTCAAGTAAACCCACACTTCCTGGCTTCCGTTCTGTGTTTTAGGACTGAACGATGAACCTCGGTTTAAAATCAAAATGTAGCCCTGTCCGGGTTGGCTCAGTGGGTAGAGCGCCGGCCTGTGGACCAAAGGGTCCCGGGTTCGATTCCAGTCGAGGGCATGCACCTCGGTTATAGGCTCCCCCCTGGCCAGGATCCTGGTCGGGGCTCAAGCAGGAGGCAGCCAATCACTAATTCTCTCTCATCACTCTTGTTTCTCTCTCTCTCTCCCTCTCCCTTCCACTCTGAAATCAATAAAAAGATATTAAAAATAATAAAAAAATAAAAATAAACAAGAAAACCCTCCTATAATACGCAGGCACCCCTATCTGCTGGCATTTGCAGCAACACGAATCCCAAAGGCCCCCAGAGCACAAACATCCAAAGGGAACAAATGAATGGGGGATTGTGCCTCGGGGCGGCCAGCAGGGCCCAGCATCCACGCATAAAGGGCCTCTTGTGTCAGCCGGCTTCCTGGTCAGCTGACTCCACCGGACACTGTGAGCCCGGCCGCCAGCCGCTCCTTGAACCTG